GCTGGGATCAGCCTTTTTTGGTAAAAGGGTGATGGGTTAGTTACTGCTGTCATGGTTTTGGCAATATGGCTGGGCAAAGAAGGGAAAGGAAGGGGAAAAGACATACCATGCCGTGGTAGGTCAGGAGCTTGCCTCCATTGTTCTTGAAAGCATGCAGATTCGCGTCGTCTGCGTTCCAGGCGCTACCATATTCCGAAGTGATGAGGTTGAAAAACTCCTGGTACTCCGAGTGGCTCAACCCCATGGTGTCAAAGCTGATGTTCTTAGCGACGAAGAGATTGAACCATTCATCCTTCACGGTGGCGAACGATGAGCTGTTGAATTCCGGTTGAGCACCAAAGGTACTACCAATGTCGGACCCCGGGTTGTAGCCATACCAGAGCTGGTGACCGTCAGTGGTCTGCGCGCCCGACCAGGCAGCATCAATGATGACCGCGGCGCCCTGACTCAGTGCGATAGTGCGGTTCAAGGAGTCACAGGTGAATGTTTTGTTCACGGCGGTATAGGGGTCGTAGTTACAGGCGGTCATGTTGGAGATAAGTCCATCTACCACACCATCAAGGGGATCACAGTAGGTGATAGCCTCGCGTGTCAGGAAGTCCAGTTCGCAGACGAGAGGGTTCAAGTTGTGCCAGATGCGCATGAAGAGAGCATAGTACAGCGATGAAGTAAACTTGGTAAAGGATTGTGCGGGAGCTGAGGCAGCAATACCATCGTATGCCGTGGGATAGCGCTCAGCGATCATCATTCCCTGCCGGCCTCCTTGCGAGCAACCGCTCCAGTAAGAATAGTCAGGAGCACGACCGTAGAAGCTGTTCACCAGGCTCTTTCCAATGATGGCTTGGTCATTGTAGGCCCGAGATCCGAAGTTTTCCACTGCCACCCAATCAACATTGCCTGGGCTGGTGAGCGCCCATTCACGAGGTCCTGTAGTATCCTTGCCCAGTCCAGCATCGGTTGTGGTGGTAGCAAACCCTTCCCCAAGTGCACCTCCCATGAAAAACTCGGACAGTACAAACCGGCCAGCAGCCCATCCGCCACCTCCTGTTGCCTGCAGGCGGCCGTTCCAGTTGGTCGGCTCGGGAAGCCAGGTCTCGACAGTGATATTATCCTCGTAGCCGGGATGGGTATATTTCACGGTAATGTTGCAGAACTTGGCATTTTCGAGTTCAACAGTACCTCCATTGTAGTTGAACGTGTACGGAATGTAATCGGTGTAATTGGTGACCCAAGACGCAGAAAGAGAAATGATCTCAGCGCCGTACACGACCGGGGTCTGAATGGCTGCAGGCGAGCAAATAGAAAAGTTTGACATGGCCGCTAAAGGAATGTGAGCCAGGAATGAGTGTATGAAATGAAATGAGTGTCGCAGACTGCAATTCTCTGAATCATCCTTCCTTTTATACCCGGCTTTTCAGCCTGGACTAGGTACCCCCATATTATTCCAACCTTGAATGACATCAATTTGGAAAGGGGGGTTATGGATGGTGGAGCCCAAGTCGGGCGACGGCCGAGTGGCTCTTCCCGAAAAGGATGTTCGTACTCGGATGAACAGTAACATGCCGGCTCCACTTTGTTCTCTGAACCCTGGATGCCGAACTAGTTTGCCCCGTGCTCGGGCCACAGAATACTCAAGGAGTTGGGCTTCTTGGCATACTAGAATTACCGATCATAATCACATTGATACCTGCAGTTGCGTGCGCTTGGTTTACGAATGTCCGACCTATGTCGGCAAATATCTAAAGTCTCTGGTCTCACATCAATCTCGCCAAGGCAGCGCCCCTGCTTTTGCTGCCTATGATATATTATCCATGCATTGCATCCAGCTTTTATCTCCGATCTCATATGCGCATCCTGTAAGTGCCTGCATAATTGGCCCGACATAGCCTATGCTAATGGACGCTAAGTACCTGGAACACAGAATCTTGTCATGCCTACCGGCATTCATGATATACTCAGCCGATATATTCCATATGCGCATACATGGAAAGGCAAATCCATGCTCTGCAGATGGTAATACACAGACAGCGGCAACTAATCGATTAAGCGAATCTAGAGACATGGGAGTATTTCGCACTGGAGCAAAGAGCTAAAAAGGCTATATTTAGATGTGGCACTGGAGGAAACAATGTATCTAGGAAGGACCTATACAGTTTAGTGTGATCAAACTCTAAAATAATTGAAGACGTGTCTTCGCTGTCTTTCAACGCATCAATGTAAATCGTTTGATGTATTGACAATCGGTCAATTTCGAACATGATTTGATCATACACAACACCACATCACATTTGACTACCACCAATGAAGCCCTTGCCGCTTTCTTAGTGTCATCTCTGGTTTGCAATTTATGCATTAAAACTCGTTATCAACATTTCATAAGGACAGAAAGACGCGCTACTTCATGCGGGATATATTACCAAGCAAACCTCAGCTCACTAGACAATGCTTTCCCAATGCCGTCGAACATATAATACCACACTGCATGCACCCCCACCTCAGCAAAAGGACCAAATCATCCCCACTCCTTCAAATCTTCAAGATAGACCCCTTCACCCAATGCCCGAGCTGCGCAGACAACAGCCGGTTCTCATTCATAATAAACATCCGCCCATTTCGGCCAAAGGAAAAATTAGCCACGCCGCTCTTGATGTAAATCTTCCCTAACAAGACACCACTGGGCGACCAGACGTTGACCCCGTCCCCGCAGCCAGCGTACACATTGCCTTCCATATCGGTCTTGATCCCATCCGGGACACCGTTTGCTGCCATCGCGAAGACGCGACGGTTGGTCAGGAATGGCTGGCCGTGGTAGGTGGTGATGTCGAATGCATAGCTGGATGGTTCCATATCAGCCAACCATAAATGTGAGATGGTATACCGTACTTGCGAACATAAAGAAAAGCGACAAGAGATCATATAGTGGGGAAGGGGAAATGACATACATAGTGGAAGGCTTAGTCGGATCCGTCGTCCCATCACCAACCGTATACCCCGTATCAGTGATGTATACAATTTTCTCATCAGGAGAGAAAGAAATGCCATTCGGACGACTAAATCCATCCGCAACAACACGTACATCCCCGGTACTCGGATCATAGCGATAAACTTGGTTCGGCAGTTGCGGTGCAGGGCGGATGCCCTGCTCGTATCCGTACGTAGGATCAGTAAACCAGATAGAGCCATCGCTGTGAACGATCACATCATTCAGGGAATTGAAATTCCGACCGTAGAAACCACTGATTAGGAGCTTGGATTCATATGGCGGGTCAATAGACATCTGGAATAGACCCCCAGATTGGTTGAGCGTGCCTTGGCCGCAGAAAAGGATACCAGAGTCGTGGTTGATACCTCCGTTGGGAAGAGGGATGGTGGTATTAATTATTTCTGATGTTACTGGGTTGCTGCTAAGGGATACTTTGGAGATTTTGATTGTTGACTGGTTGGTGAGGGGATCGGTGAAGATGTTGCTAGTCATGAACAGTTCGTCGGTGGATGGGATAAAGACACTTGCTTCATGGGCGAATGGGAAGTCATTGTTCTCTAGAAGAACCTCCAGTTTTGGGGCATTGCCTGTGATGTTGAGGAATCGACTATCGTAGTATTCGAACCCTGTGGTGGCCTGGGAGAACTCGGGCTGCAGGCCGGTGACGGACATATTGTGGGCCATTTGGATAGTGGCCATGGCGAAAGTAATGCGATGTTAGTAGTTAAAGTGTGGGGGGGACATGGAGTTTTATATGCTCACTAGTAAGTTACATCGGGGGTTTCTCGGCTGATCTAAGGCAGGAACTGCGCGAGGGTTGAGGTTGAGCGGCCAGCAATTTCCGCTTAAAGGGATGAGGCGGGGACATTGTGGGTGATCATCGCCGTAATCGGTCCAGGTAGGGAACCGGCGTTTGAATGTACTGTTTTGTCATCTTATTCTGGGGACTACAACATCTTTCATGATTTTACGAGGAGCTTCAACAAAAGAGTAACTCCATATTCATCGACTCAGAGTCGGTATATAACAAGACCACTAATTAGAATGACCCATAGCAGCTTCAAGGGGCATGCTCCATGTGCTGCCTTATAAGTTCGGTCACAGCTGTATGACCTTTTTTCTTGGGCTAGCGCCAGCGCTGACTTCCCATTCTTATCCTGTAAAGGCGGATTGATTCCTTCTGCGTCAAGAAGTATTCTCACAATCTCCACGTCGCCACGAACCGCTGCACATGGTAGGGGTGGAAGCCCATTATAATGCCCACGGTTTGGGTCGGCCCCCGCTGAAAGTAAAAATTTCACCGCCTGCGGACTACAGTGTCCTAAGGCCATCGCTAACGGCGTCGAACCATCCCTGCTTTGCACATCGACATTCGCGCCTGCATCAAGAAGGTGTTTGAACAGTTCGACCTGGTCCATCAGACACAGACACCTCCATGCTATGTTGTGGAGAGGTGTTCGTCCATTATAACCGGGAATCATATGATCGTTTCAAGATAATCACTATATTAGAATGTGCTAGACCTGGCTAAGCGCTTTGGTGTTCAGATGATGCCTAGTCAAATGACGCGTAGCGATCTTTGGTGATGGCTCTAAGCACTGCGGATGTGGGTACTGGGAGCCTCCATCGTGGCCTTATCTATGAGCTAGTACACTGGCTGGTCGGCGATAGCTCCTGTTGAAGTTAGTGTATCATGGGCGAGAGCCCGTAGACCGCGCACGAGAAATAGATTGCAATTCAATATCCACCGCGATGGAGATTGACCAGAGTTGCCAGTCATCGACTCGCCTATTAGTGGACGTTGCTCCCTTTGCGATAGAGGTTCGTACGGGGCCTCTCCTTAGCTTCTGCGCCAGTAGTTCAAGTAAGCATGCGCCTACTTGAGTATACCTTGAGTGAGTCATCTAGATACGACAGTTGCCCCGTTTTCGTATCAACTGTGGGTGGGGCCATGCAAACCTCCGCTCTCGAAACATGTCATCGCTACCAGCCTCGAGACCTAACGAACAACGATCGGGCGAGTCTGTAGAGTATTTATTTCTTCGCATGGTCATATCTTTGTCTTATGTTATCTTCCAGCGAATGCTTGCTTTATGTGTCGAGTCAAGATATTTTAGCATGCTGAATTCCCCTCTAGCACTTGTAAAGGTCATCGAAGGATCTTAGAACCGGCATAGCTTCTGACGCATTTTCGCACCACTTTTATTTCATATTCGCCGTCAACCATGCGATTTCAACACTCTCCATCTCTCATAGCTGCATTGGTGCAAATCACTGCAGCTGCCAACATCACGATTCTCGGGCCTGGGGACCTTCACCAAGACGTCGCAGATTCCTTTCTATACTGCCTCAATGCAACCGGCATTTATTATCGGCTATATATAGACGCAGGGATTACGATCGTGCTTCCACCCAACAATCGCGGCATTGATACAGATGAAGACGATGAGTTCCTATTGCAGTGCATGATGATGGCTTGTGATACAATGAGTATTGCGGCGGAGGGCATGAACGAAGATAATGAAGACCATATGAATAGTGTTTATGCCGCCGTTGTGACGTACGATTGGCTTGTCAAGCAGGGTGCTCGGGGTTTGCGTGCAATCGGTACAAAGCCGGCCCTGATCCTGGAGGATATTGCTGTGCGCGATGGGGGTGAGAATGAGGTGAGTTTGGCGAAAAGAAATTGTTTTATATTGTGACATTGCACTGAAAGATGAATGCAGGAATGAGGCTTTCCAGTCACCCACCATAATAGCGTCATGGGAGAATCACTTTGATTCGGATCGATTGATTCGAACCTTTGTGAGATGGACTCGGTTAGTTCGACCACGCCCGCCTCCGTATGCAGCAGATTGAGGCCAGAATATATTTTGAGACTGTAATAGGTGGATGGATATGCACACCCAGTTTCGCAACAATTTGCTATTATTTTTCATGTCATCATGCTATATATCTTTGTTGGGACATGCATTTTTCTCACATGGCTGGCTAGATGCGATATGCCGTTTTTGGTTGAACGACTAGTGTGTCGACATTATTAGATCTTGAATCCGCAATGTCTATGTAATTCGCGTTGTTCAATCCATCTCCTCCGCTGGTTACCAACTACGACCATTAGAGTAGTATCACGGGATTCGACGTACATAAGCCAGATTATAGTCAACCCTAATTTGTCGGCGACCCCCGGCAAAGGGCTTTGCCACTCCAGCGACTGGGACGCCAAAGGTTCCCCGATCTCGACTCCAACTCCACATTTGCCGTTGCGGGGAACCGAAAGTTGGGGTAGGAACCAGTCTGCCATCTAACCGAGCTTATGCCCGAAATTTTGGTCATTTGTGACTTCTGACAAGTATCCCTTTCACGTTTCATCTCCTCCTTGTAGACTACATGCACAGAATAGGATAGACATAGATTGCAGCGGACATGGGCACACAGAATGAGGGGCTAGGCGCTCCAGACGAATTTTCTAACGAGCATAACGAACATCAACCCCCAGACGAGGCTAGTCCAGAGAGGCAACCAGTGCCCGACGGAGGGCTGGAAGGCTGGCTCAGCGTACTCGCGGGCTTCTGCGTTTTCGTCAACTCTTGGTACGTACCTACATCCCCATCACCAGTCACGCCCAAGCAGTCCTAACCCCCAGCAGGGGCCTCATCAGCTGCTATGGCGCATTCCAAGAATTCTACCAAACGGTTCTCCTCCCAGACGAATCACCCTCCACGATCTCTTGGATCGGCAGTGTCCAAGCCACCCTGATCGTGATGGTCGGCATGGTGACCGGCCCCCTAGTCGACGCAGGATACCTCCGGCCCCTGATCCTCACTGGATCCTTCCTAGTCGTGTTCGGGATGATGATGCTCAGCCTAGCAACAGAATACTACCAAGTTCTCCTCGCGCAGGGCTTCTGCGTCGGCATTGGTGGCGGCATCACCTACATCCCCGCGATGGTCGTCATCTCATCGTACTTTACAACCAGGCGGCCCATCGCTATCGGCTGCGCCTCGATCGGCTCCAGCGTCGGCAGCGTCATCTTCCCCATCCTCTTCCGCCAAGTCCAACCCATCATCAACTTCGCCTGGAGCGTCCGCTGCATCGCGTTCATCAACCTTTTCCTCGCCCTCATCACCTGCGCTATACTCTGCCGTCGACCAGGCAAGAAAACGCGCACTAGAAGCCTCATCGAACTCAAAGCCCTCACTCACCTCCCGTTCATGCTCCTTTCCCTCTCTATGACATGTGTCATGCTCGCTTACTACGTACCCATCTTCTACATCGCTACTTACGCCCGCTCCGCCCTCAACACCCCAACCAGCCTCTCCTTCTACCTCGTCTCTATTACCAACGGCGCCTCCGCCTTCGGCCGAACAGTTCCCTACCTCCTCGCCTCAGGAGGCACCCACATCAAACCAATCTTCATCTTAATCGCCTTCGTCGCGGCAGCAGCAGTAGCCATGTTTACCTGGATCGCGACGACAAACACAGCCGGATTTATCGTCTGGGCCTGTTACTGGGGGTTCGTGAGCGGGGTGCTAGTCACAGCGCCGACGTCTATCGTCGCTCACAAGGCATTCTGTCCCGATAGTGACTTCCTCGGAACGAGGATGGGCATGATGTGGGGGATCAGTTCGTTCGGGTCATTAGTGGGCACGCCCGTTGCAGGAGCGTTAGTGAATTTGGAAACGGCGGACTTTGTTCGTGCGCAGGTGTTTGCGGGTTGTTTGATGGTTGGGGCGGTCGTTTTGCAGGTTTGGCCGGTTGTTTGTGTAGTTAGGGCGGATAGGGGGGTGGGGAAGGTGCAATAATATAAATGCATGTGTTAGAGCTTTGGATGCAATGGTGGATAGTAGAGATAATCAGAATATGACCTATAGAACAATAACCCTCTCCACTATCTTTATCGGAGTTCACTGGTCGTGGATATATACTTATCCGGTGCTATCTATCGCATTTCTGTATTATCCTTGTCCCTGCATATGCATTTATTATAAGCAATGTATTGCTGTCCAAACCATGATCACATCATCAGTCGACCAAATTTTGGTATCATTGTGGCGAATGTCTGATACTTGTTCCCTATCAGGATACTAATCTCGAACTTGGTCTTTTTTAAGCCAACCACCATCCTAGTATAGCCCGCCGATGCACATGCAGGTGTAGGTAGCAAGACCAACCCACCCCGAAAAACAACCTTGATGCATCAACACTACCCAATCGATGGGTTTTCCGGAGATGGCAAAATCAAGCTTTCAGGAAACTGGTTTCCGATTGCGGTCTCCACCACAGCTTACCATATTTTTGCTTTTGATTGCAGTATAGTAGTGGTAGGGATGTAGCGGGGGGAGGTATCACTGTTCACGGCACGATTTGAGCGAGGTTCGAGGTCCCGCTGGTGTTCGGATAAGCTGGGGTGAGGAATCCTGCTATGGGCGGGTCGCTATCAATGGGTAAGTGAGTAGATGTGATGTCTGTGTCTACCGCAAACTCAATCAGGAATACTCTACGGATTAAGCTGGTTGGGTGAGTGGGTCTGAATAGGCCGATTGTGTGGAATATGGAGTACTAGTCTAAATGGAGCGAGGCCGAAGATTTGGCGATATGCTCACTCACTCGCTTTATGCTGTGCACGTATGTTATGTGAGTTGTGAATTATGTGCACCGGCTTACAGTAAGTACGATTGTTGCCTCAATTAAATTCAATTCAAGCAATAACTGTATATTGACCCTAGAGTACTTCACAACCTAGGGCCTAAATAGCTGTCCTGCAGGTACCAAAATAAAAGAAAAGAGTGACAAAAATTTAGTCAACCTCAACCTACTGCACTAATATCCCAAACTTATCGCAGCAAGCTTAGAAAGTAAGAGTCTGACCGGCAGTGCCGACAACAGCAGCCTTGACATTGGCAGAGCCAAGAAGGGTGTAGTCGTAAGGCATGGAAGTCAGGGTGCCCTCCTCGGCAGTGCTCTTGGCATCACCGAAGTCGTTGTCGTTGGAGACGGCGTAGCCATCATCGGTGGAGTAGAGAGCCTTCTTAGAGTCGACGAACTGGTTGGACTCGACGAGCAGCTGGGCGCCATCGCGGGTGTTGATGCCGTCGCTCACGTCCAGGTAGTAGCTGTTGTAGATGTGGCCGGTACCGAAGCGGAAAGAGGGAGCGCGGGAGTCGATGTTGTACCAGTAGTTGTTGGCATAGGTGACGGTCAGGTGACCGCTGTCCTCGTCTTCATTGCTGTCAGAGTGGCCGACCAGGGAGGCCTTCCAGTGGTCGTGGATGAAGGTGTTGGAGACGGTGACGTAGTCGGATCCGTGGGTGATCTGGTTATTTATTAGTGAAATGGTTTGGGTATTAGTGTGATTGTGGGTTGCGTACATCAATCAGACCGTCGTAGTAGTCCTTGTCGTGGTCACGGTCGGAGGAGACATCGCAGTGGTCAATCCAGACGTTGTTGGAGTACTCTGCTTGGATTAGTATATCAGAAGGTGTGTAATGGGTGGATGTTCACGTACGGACACCAATGGCATCGCCGTTGTCAGCGAGGACCTTGGTGACTCCGAGGTTGCGGATGATAACGTTCTCCTTCTCCTTGACGAGACTATTGCATGTCAGCTTGGTTGGCTCTTCATTGCGGGGATGTGCTTACACTCCGAATCCCTCGAGGATGGCGTTGGCGTCCTTGCCAATGATGGAGGTGTTGCTACCGATCTTGACCTGGTCGGCAGTCTCCTTGATAGTGCCGTCGACGTAGACGACCTTGGCTTCATCGCCGGAGACAGCAGAGGTGAAGGCAGCATAGGACGAGACGGTAGTGGTAGTACCGCCGGCACCACCGGTAGTGCCGCCGTTCATGCTAGCATAGCCGAACGCAGCCTGCAAAGGTCAATTCCTGTGACTTTCTTCAAATGAGGGTACTTACGTCGCTGACGGTTGCGCGCTTGGCATGGGTATAAGTGGCAGTAGGGGCAGCCAGGACCTGTCCAGACAGGAGGCCGGCAGCGGCAACAATCCACTTGAAGTTGGTCATTGTGATTAGGAGAGAGAAAAGAATGGAAAGGTAGTTGGGGGATGAGAGAAAGAAAGACAATATGAGAGGGTTGATTTGAGATATCGTTCAGGGTCTACCTGTTCCCTTTATACGGATGGGTCGACGGCATTGGGAGCTCTAAGACAGAATGAAATCACTTCAAGCATCAGGACTGTCTCCAGGCTTGGCTAGATACATTCATAGGTGGACTTCAGCATAGCAACCGTGACGAGGTTAAGCTGCAGGTTCTTTGGATGCGACTGCCAAGATGCCGGTCAAGCCCCGTACGGATGAAGCTGGTCGCACCACTCGCATGGCAGGGAGGGAGCATCGTGAGGAAAGACGTTGTCCAGAGGTGGATATTATGCTGGGAGCTGAATTCCACCAACGGCACTTGGCGTTTCAGCAATGTTGCCAAGAGAGCTAAAGTCTAGTCTGTTGTGGCTGTGCGGTGGAACTGTCCGTGCCATTCACAACTAGTGTCCGCTCAGGAACTCCGGCTGCGATGCTTGGCGCGTCTGGACATGGCCCCCGGAAGATTTTGAGTGGTGTACGAGTCATTTTGTGGGAGCCGAAGGAGCAGAATAACTTGGCAAGATTAATCAATCAGGGGTTATCCTCCACAGTGGCACAGCTCCGTGGAGTGCCGGTCTCATGTTCAGCATTGATCCAGCTCCCTTAACGCAGCAAAGCTACTATCATCGTAAACGTCAGAGTTGTACCTTCCCATGGATTGAATAATAGATTCAAGCCATGCTAAAGTGTCTTTTGGCGCGGCTTAGATGATACTGCTTCCGCGGATCATGACCACGTTAAACAATAATCTGCCAACCCCGGGGACATCAAGCCACGGTTCAAAAAGAACAAGAAGTCCAAGCACCGGTCGTTCTCGGCAATGGAGCGTGTCCACTTCCACCTTTGGATGGCTCCGTTTCATCCGTTCCTTTGCTGCCCGTTTGGCCACGATTTAAGCGCCGTCTTCA